AGGTGTTCTATCGTTGGAAAACTTTTTCCCACGGTTTAAGTCATAAGTGTTTTCAATAGAGTCGATTGGTGTATGACGCTGAAAATTAAAAATAATTCATATCCACTTCTTTTGTAAATGTTTTTGATGTCCTTGCTATTATCATTGAAAATAAAAAAAAGGAAAAAGAAAAGCGTTGAAAACTTTAGTTTGTTGATTCTATGCAGACGGTTTAGTTTATTCATACAAAATTCAAATTTTGAGTGGAAAGGTGTGATCTGGTTTTGATAATTGTTTTAATACAGCGTACTATTTTAAACACAGAAATTTCAATAACAAGGCAATTCTATGGCTTAAATGTTGACGCAATACCTTTGTTTCGCGCCTTTTTTAATTTTTTTTTTGTCCGATAGAAGTGAACCGGGCAATATCGCACTGTGATCCTTGTTTTTCACAAATGTTAATTTTCTTAACGGATGTGTGCGAGTTTACATTTAATGCAAACTTTTCGTGACATGTTTACACTTAATGCTTTTCATATCTCTACATAAAGCAACACTTTGTAATTAAGTCTCAATTTCATGCGAAAATGATTATAACTTCTCGATATTTAAACTCAGATAGAGCCAATTTCTTGGGCTCTTCCTGTTATGTCGACCTTTCCTTAAGCTTAAAAAAATAAGTGTAGGAGTCGTAAGCCTTTTTTTTTTTTTCGATAACAGGATGGTCATGGAGTTTGAATCAACTCATGTAGTGATCACTACCGTCCTCTTACTACTTGTCGATATTGACATCGCCGACAATATACTTGTTTGTTTGATTATCAAAAGGAATCTTCAAGCGAGGTATGTGCAGGATGTGAAAATCATGAAACAAGTTCATTTACTCCTAAATTTTAGAAATAAAGGTTGAGAGGTCGTCTCTCGCACAGTTCCATCCATGTACTTTCGTTGCATTAAGAATTAAAACTCTCGTATGTATAGCTTTTTGAACACGCTCTTTTGCTTTAAAGAATCACCATCAATTACCTGCCTGTGAACCTGGCTTTCTCCAATATTCTGTTCGCAACCTTCATTACACCAAAGGTTATCGTCAGCCTCAATCTAAGGAAGCCAAATGGAGTAGCAGGTTTAGTCCTTTGTAAACTGCTGACCGGAGGGAGCTGGCTTGGATTCCAGGAATTAATTTAGTTGTTACTTTGGTGGCGATCTCCTTTGAAAGATATTTCACAGTGGTTTATCCGCTTGACTGAAATAGAAAACAATCTACACAATGTGGTTTAAGCCTAATGGCAACAATCCATTAAACTGTCAACAGCAAGTAATTTCTTATTGCATATTTCTGTTTTTTTTTTTTTTCACGCATAGTGCATACCTTATATTAAGCTTTTTCGCTGGCAGAGCCTTGGTAAGAGAATAGTTCCCTCAGCTTTTAGTCATATTTTACGCAAGGAAACTTTTTTACCAAACGTAGATACCTTACTTTTTTCATCTGTGGGTACACAGAAATAAGCAAAGAGGAAAAGGAGGAGGAATGGTTGGTAAACGTTCAGCTTGAAAGTAAATCTACTTAATCTTGCGTAGTTTGTGAACAAATACTTGGTAAAAATTTTCACATAACAGTCAATAGACAAGTTAAAGGGAAAAAAAAAAAGAAAAAAAAAACAGATAAAATTCTCCCCTCTTGTCATTTTCCATCTTCTTATTTTCTCAACTTTAAGGCAAAATTTTTCACAAAAAATGAAACCTTGAAGGAATTATAGAGAATGTTGTTGTTTTCCTTTTAATGGCCATCTTATAAAAGCGCAATTGATGACTGGAATGATTATTTCTTTTCTTTATTTCCAGAGTGTGCTGAGGATTCGAAAACCGGCGTCATTTTGACGAATGCCATAGCATTTCTAAAGGTAAAAGGAACAGTGTATCGACATAAGATCGATCATCAGTTAGATACGGTCAACTTAAAAAACAAATTATTTTGCAGTTGGTTTACTCATTTGTAAGCTAGTCCGTATTCTTTTGGTTCAGGTTTGTAAGCGATCGTTACTCCCCAAATTAAACGGTTGAAGCTCTTTTTTGCGTCAATCTCACACCACATTCTTCCTCTTCTTGTTTGTTATAAACTGAATGGAGCGAGTTGGTTATTTGACAACTAGAGAAGTGCTTCTTCTCTTCCTTTAGCTTCTTTCCATCACTTTACTCCTTATCTTATTTAATTGTCTGCTGTTACTGCTGAGCTGTATCGGATGACATCACGGGCCTCCAGCACCTTAGTTAAGTGCAAAAACTTCAAACATCCTTTTCTTGTTAACTGTCTCAATTGTTTTCTTATGTAAATTAAAACAAATAGGTACGCAGTACGTAAATGTTTCTGCTGTTACTGTCACATGGTGTGGAAACTAAACCTTGTAAAGGATCACAAGATCTTTTTAACATTAATTCTAGGTTCACAGCTTTGGCAAAATTTTAAAATTAATAATTAGTTGTCCTTCCTTGATGATTTTTTAGCAATAATTTTTCTAATATTTTTTTTTTCTGGGAGCACATTTGATGGTGTGAAATGGAAAATAGAAGGTCCCAATAACTGGAAAATTAAGAGAATTTAGCAAACGAAACTCACTGAGGTAGATTACCACTAAAAGCCTACTACAATGGTTTTATCGATAGACATATTTGTGAAGATTAAGCTTACTAACTTGCAGCATTTTCTCATCAGTAATTCGCAATATTTCTTTGATGAATGTAAAAAAATTCGATTGGAACGCGACGCAAGTTGTTAACTGGCTTGATATTCACAGCTTGAACACAAATTTTTAAGGTTACTTCCCACCTTCGCGGTGTCCTTCGGGAAAAAGTTCGCAAGCGCACTAGTTTCAGTAACATCCTAGCAAACTGTATATCAGAATAAACCTTAATGGCTGCAGTCTACGATGAAAATATAATTTAAGCAACTCTTCTTTTAAGGAAGTGTCAGGAGCCAGTAAGGCGTGAAACAAGCGAGGGTTCTTCTGTTGAATTTATCGGATGAATTTATTGGATGCCGCAGCACGAGCAAAATGGCTGACAGTCTTATTTACAAGGCATCAATAAATTAAAGTATATCAGGCTTTTTCGATATACTTCTTGGTTGCCTAGATATCGGCATCTAAATTTGGAGTAGCTAAAAATATGCGAGGCGTGTTGCGTAAATGGACGCCACGGGAAAAATATTTCAAATATCAAAATTTCTTAACACGCTTTCATTTGTCACTATTTCTGGAATGTTTAGACGCAATTTTACGAGAATCGCAGAAATATATATACCCTATAAATTCATTTGAAGTGGTTGTATTCCACCCAAGATCAAACAAGATATTTTAGCTCATAAAGGTTCACAAACAACTCGCGCCACGCCAGGAGATTATCTCGCCTCCTGAAACCGCAAATGAATGGGAGAACAGGACCTTCTGACGTCAATGACGATGAACCAAGATTTCCTGCAGCTGGGACAAGGAGCCTATTGCAAACACGATTTTTGTGTGTGTGTGTGTTTTGCTTTGTTTTTTCATCTCAATCGCTCAGTGGGGCGTTGGGGAAGACAACACATCAATGAACGGTACTTTCTTCCGCCTTTGATTTTTCCATAGGAAAGATTTTTTCAAAAGCAAAAAATTCCTCATGTGAATTGTATAAAGTGCGCGATGTAAACAAAATATGGAAATAAAACAAAAATCGAGCCTCAACATGAGCGGTTGCCGCGAAACTTCCGCCAGATCCGAGATCATCACACCTTTCTGATTTCTAACTTTTGTTTGAAAAAAACTCGGTTTCTTTTGAAGATTTCAGAAAATTTTCCAGTAGAAACGTCAGGTTGAATGTTTGAATTCAGTTTATCCAAGTAAACCAAAAAGCCGATTTTTTCGGCCTCTGAAGATGGGAAGTAACCTTAAGAGACAAAGTTAGGTAAAATGATTACTAAAGCCACATAACTTTGAAAATTAACCCGATTTGGAGAAAAAAATTCTGAAGTTCTAAAGCGTTGTTCCTTTTGAATTAAATTACCGCTTATAATGTCCGCTGCCGAGAAATAATCCGAAAGATGAGGGATGTTTAACCGCAAAACGCAATACTAAAATGCAGGTAACCTGTCTCCAACCATATCTTTTATTATCGTTTTAATATCTCAAGCAACAGCCTTTGCAAGAGAAAAAGGCTTAAGATTCCTTTTTAAACAAACAAATGGCATAAACGGCTGACGATATGATAGTTGGGTTGAAAATCTAACTTTGTTTTTATTACTCTATTTATAATTATTAAAACCTACAATCTATTGGCGTACGCCAGGAAGGCCGCATAAGCGTTCTCTTAAGATAGGTTTTTGAAACTTACTCTGGCTTCAGTCCTCGTCTGCTAAGTTGCGCAAAAAGACTTGAGATGTTGGACAGCATTTCGTTTTTTTCGCCTACCCTTCGGTAAAGTTTCTTTCCCTTTTTAATTATAACTGTCGTGCGACTGTCAACGTAAGTTGAATTGTTAATGCACGAAACGTCTACGTTGACAGGAGCAATGGTTCGCTTTTAATGCACCTTGTAAAATCTTGTCAGAAAATCACTTCGTAAATAAAATATTCAGCTTTAATCCAATGCTCTTTTTCAAACTTTCTCAACGATCTTTGTCTGGGTAATGTAATGTACACTCGCTTTGACATATTGCATGGGATAATGCATAAGAGTACCACCAGCTGATTGCATTAATTTTAAAGTTTATGTCATTAGTAACCATGGCTGTCTATTTTTGAGAATAAAATAAACGCAAATGGTAAACAATTAGTCTACTGAGCAAGACTTTCCATTGCATGATCTCTAACGCTTCAGCCATATGGTGTTCTCTCCCTTAAGTTTACGCTGGATCAGGTAGGTGCTACACCTCCTCGCTCTTGATTCGGCATGTGCTTAATTCTGCTCTATTAACATGTCGGCAATATTCGACCCACGCTCTTTTTTTTAAATTTCCTTATTGTTGTTTTGCATGAAGCATCTAAGATATTGATACAAAGAAGGATAGTTAATTTGCTAATCAGTCATGAAATTACGGTAAAGACACCTAGTTGGATTATTGATACCTACTTTCGCGCGCCTTATCAAATCACCTTGTTTTGAGAACAGTAATTGTCAACTTTCTCTGCGAAAATTTACACATGCAGTTGGATAAATTTACAAGTCGTTTCCGACTTTTCTGAGAAGTTGTCATCGTCTCAATCTAAACGTACAAGTCCAGATAGCAATTTTTTGTAATGGCCCCTCTTTGTTCAACATTGTAGCCCACATATCAACGGCTTGGCCCGTTTTAAACGTATTATCAAGGGCAGATTCTTGTCAGTATACTTTCATTAATCTTATTCATGTTTTTATAGTCAACGCGTCTGAGCTAGGCGTAAATTGGTATTGCACGATGTTGTTCGTATAAAAGGGTTAAATTAATTCCCCGCTATTTGGCCACAAGCCATTTTTTTGGGAAGTGGAAGACATCGTCGAATTGGCTGGATCCTTAACGGATTTGTCTGAATTATTTGGTTTTAAGACTACTCTATCTCGATATTTAACAGGTAAGACGTTCTTACTGTTATTCAATGATATGGTTAAAATGTTGCGATAATCTTATGACGTTTGCATTCAAATGAACAGAACTTAGATCAGCTGTGTTTTTATTGGGAAAAATTGGACCAAAAAACGGGTAAAAGCATAGCAAATGTTGACTTCAATAAAGAACAGCGGAATGAGTCTCTTTTTCTCGTTAATTATTTTGTACTTTTTCTATTTCCACTTGATATTTAGTTGAAACTCGGAAGTTGAAAGGTTTCCATTTCTCAGACCGTCCTCATCTATAGCGAAGTGATCGTGTTCATTCTCGAAATGGCACCAACTTTAGGAGAAAATTATGCGGGTTGTTTGCAAAGTGCTAAATCAGCGTCCGTTTTACATTTAATGATAATTTTTTTGGCAGAGAACTAACTCTTGAGTCACGATGGTCAAGTACGAGGTTTCTTCTATTGTGATTACCACTGTGTTCTTGGTCCTCGTCGTTTTGGTCGTCACTGGCAATATAGTTGTTTGTTTGATTATCAAGAGAAGTCGGCAAATGAGGTATGTCGCCGGTAACGATCGAACAGTAAATTGGATACGTTTTTATGCAGTTAGATTGAGACCTGTGCTTGTAGATTTATTGCTTACGATCATAAAATATATACTTTAAAATTCTGCCAACGTCATTATCATCATGTCTACCTTTTGTTTGACTCTGAAGGACTCCCATAAATTATTTACTCGTGAACCTGGCTGTCTCCGATATTCTGTTTGCGACGTTTATTGCACCAAAACTTATTTTCGGCTTGAATTTGAGCCACCCAGAGGGAGCAACAGGTTCCATCCTCTGCAAGTTGATGACTGGTGGAAATTTTGCTTGGATTCCTGGAGTTTCTTCTGTTGTTACTTTGGTTACGATTGCCGTGGAACGATATTATACTGTAGTACATCCAATGGATCCAAATAGAAAAATGACTAAGCATAAGCTGAAGGTGAGTTATGGTATAAATTGGTGGCGCACTGGAGGAGGGTGATTGCTATGCATCTTTATTTACCTTTGTACTATTGCAAAGTGTTTTTATTTTTTTTTTATTCGCGTATACTATCGTTGCGCTGTTCTCGTAAACTTGGCAATGCCACTTAATAGCAGAATAAATGATGATGGTTATACAGGCTATGAAAAGTGATTAGTTTCACGAAAGCAATCATCATGGGGTAATAAAGAGGATCTCACGTCAAAGTGAGATAAAATTAATCATTTTCTCAGTTCAACAGAGACAGCGCCGGATATTTGGCGTCGGTGGCGCATAATAAGTGAAAATGCAGTTTGGCCGCGAGAGCGCACGCGTGCAAAGAAGTGACATATTAACTGAGAAACGATATGTTTTTTGTTGTTAGTCGTGCCCAAAAAAACACTAACTTACACGTTTTCCTTTCACTTACCTTTCCAGGTGATCCTTCTTTGTTCTTGGATATTCTCGGTGATTTTCAATATACCTCTCTTTCTTGCCCGTACTTATAAGAGGGAAGATGGAAAAAACCACTGTGTGCTAAGCTGGCCCAAAAAGTGGATGTCCACAGCCAATTGTTATGCATGGTTGTTCCTGATTGCTGTAGCTGTTGGTTTGATGATTACTCTTTACTCTCAAGTCGTGCGTCCTTTATGGTTGAAACCAAAGAGTTGCGTTACTTTAAGCTATAAGCAACAAGTAAGTCAAAATGTATTTCATTAATAATACATTGCATAATGATGGCGGCATGGAAACTTGCGTTTTTCTGCGCTTCTCGCCGTCGGTTTCTTTTACCTTAAAATTCTCATCTTTTACACTTTTCGCGACATTTCCCTCACACTAACGGAAGAAATTTCAGCAGTGCGTGCATGCTATTTGTAATTTGCACTCATGTTACAACTTTGCATTCGTATTATATAAAGAACCGAACTCGTTTTCAGCCAATCAGACGCGGGTAATTTCTTATATATATTCGTTATAACTGACCTGTTCACATTTGGGAACTCGAACGCTTTATTCTTCATTTTAATCAGATGATCCACATCTCAGTGACCCTATCTGTGCGTCTCTTAATAATCGATAGCCCAATT